AAATATGCTTATAACAAAATTTTGGAAAAAGGGCGTGGCACTGCCCACTTATGACCACCTATCTGTATCTCGGAAAATGTTCGATCAATTTGTACCAAACTCGGTATGATTATGGTGCTTCCCACACGAAAGCAAAACGTTGCTAATTATAACGGTAAACTTAGAGACGCTAATGTACTCAAAATTGATACTAACAAAAAGCCCTTGAAAAGAAGTAACATTATTATAGAATTTTGGAAAATGGGCGTGATACCACCCACATATAACTACATAAGTTTATCTCATTGTGTCTAACTGAACGTTCTATCGAAGATGTTTGAAATAGGGGTAAAACCACCCCTGCTTACCATGTAGCCACAGTTTTCGGAAAGGTGAAAAAACTATATTTTATACTTGCGTCAGGTATTTAATATTCGGCTCCGCCCGAACTTAGACTTCTTACTTGTTCTTTTTATAGCCACTGTTTGAAAGGATTTGAAATCATTACACTGTACAGCACTCGGCTGGGTATTGGACCAAACCAACTTTTTTTAAGAGATTGAGTCATAAGTAAAAAAAGTAATTTCTCCGTTTTTTGAAGTTAGCCTCCGAAATCGAGATATGGGTCTTCGAAGTTCGAAATTGGACCTAAAAAGCAAAAAAAGTAAAAATACAGAAGTTGTCCGCCTTTTGCTCTTATTTATATAAAAACTTATATTACAGGTGCTTTAACGGTTCAAAGGTCAGATCTTCGAAAAATTAAAAACTTAATATTTCAAAAAATTTTGAACTGTTATTTAAAAAATTCATATCGTTGTAAAGGTGATTTAACCCCCTTTCTTGTGATATGCATATTTGTATACTTCGTATATAAAAATTTTAGGAAAAACACATTTAAATGAAAAAAAAACACCTTTTTTTGTATAAACAAATATTTTAAACAAAAAAATTACTAACCGATTTTTAAAAAATTAGTATCGTTGTATACTTCGTTAATAAAAATTTGAGAAAAAACACTTAAAAGCAATAAATAACTTTTTTAACAAAAAATATTTTAAACAAAAAAATTACTCGCCGATTTTTAAAATTTTCATTGTTGTTAAGGCGATTAAACCCTCTTTCGTCTAGTATGCATACTTGTATACTTCGTACATAGAATTTGAGAAAAAAACTTAAAAGGAAAAAAACCAATTTTTTCTTATAAAAAAATTTTACAGAAAAATTACTAATTAGAATACCGTATTTAAATAAAACAAATAATTATTAATGTTTTAAGCATTAGTTCGTTCTTGTTCACCAACAGCCCTATTAAAAATAAAGCAAAATTATATGTAACAGAAGTCTAAGGCATATAAAAATGTAAAAACACCATGGCTTTTGATTTTTTACCAGGGACATAACAGTTATAAGTTTTATCGCAAAAACGTTGATCTATAACAGTTATTAGATGAGAAATATTCTTTCCGTTGCCGATAAGAGTTATTTCCCAACGTTTATTTTTTACGTTGCCTCATAACAGTTACTGCCCAACGCTTATTTTTTACGTTGTCCATAAGAGTTATTTCCCAACGTTTATTTTTTACGTTGCCTGATAACAGTTACTCCCCAACGTTTATTTTTTACGTTGCCAATAAGAGTTATTTCCCAACGCTTATTTTTTACGTTGCCTGATAGCACTTACTGCCCAACGTTTTTTTACGTTACTGATAACTATTATGCAATAGAAATATTTTTTCCGTTGCCAGTCTATATAAGTATATAATTTGAATGCCATCAGATCTGCACCGTTCCTTCGATTTTCAAAAGTGAGGTGTCAAATTACAGGGGTTGTCACCTGTTAAAAATCTAGCTTAAAATTAATTTATAAGTTAAATGAATTACTTCATGATGAGTATAAACCGAAATAGTTTTGACAGGGGTTTTCGAAACTGCATGAAGGAGGGTTGCCGCCTGTTTGAAAAGCTACATTGAAATTTACACGTACCGAAGATGTAAATATCGTAATTCACAAAGGCCCTAACCAATAGATTGGTCCCTGGTCCACTTCCCGGAAAAAAGGATCCTATATGATAATCCAGGAAAAAAGCTACCTACAAACCAAATTTTAAGCGAATCGGGCCATAAATACGATTTTTTTTTAATAGATCGGTCCCTGGTCCACTTCCCGGAAAAAAGGATTCTATATGGTAATTTAGGCATAAAGCTACCTACGTACCAAATTTTGAGCAAATCGGACCATAAATATGATTTTTTCGAATAGATCGGTCCCTGGTCCACTTCCCGGAAAAAAGGATCCTATATCCTAATCTATGCAAAAAGCTACCTACGTACCAAAATTTTAAGCAAATCGAACCATAAATACGATTTTTTCCAATAGATCGGTCCCTGGTCCACTTCCCGGAAAAAGGGATCCTGTATGCTAATCTAGGCAAAAAGATACCTTTATACCAAATTTCAAGCAAGTCGGACAATAATAAGATTTTTTTCGAATAAATCGGTCCCTGGTCCACCTACCGGAAAAAAAGTAAAATTTTTTGGCCTAAAACATGGTGGTTGCTGAAAGCTATTTATACACAAAATATCATCAAAATCGTATCAGCCGTTGGCGAGCTTACCTGTTACAAAAAAAATTGACTATAGAATTAGTATAGAAGATAGTATAGACTGGCAACGGAAAAAATATTTCTATTGCATAATAGTTATCAGGCAACGTAAAAAATAAACGTTGGGAAATAACTATTATCGGCAACGGAAAACATATTTCTCATCTAATAACTTTTATGAAACAACGTTTTCGTTAAATTTCAGAATTCGGGCAACGTTTTCAATTTGTAAATTCGAGATAACAGTTATTTTTGTTCCCTGTTTTTTACATTACAGGTTATATATAAAAATTAAAGGTGATTTTCTGTTTTATTTAAATAAAGTATTCAATTGTATTACTAATTATTAATTTTTTTGGTTAAAATATTTTTTATAAGAAAAAATTGGCATTTTTTCCTTTTAAGTGTTTTTCTCAAATTCTTATATACGAAGTATACAAATATGCATATCAGAAGAAAGGAATTTGATCGCCTTTACAACGGTACCAATTGTTTAAAAATCGGTTGGTAATTTTCTTGTTTAAAATATTTTTTTTTTGTATAAAAAACGGTGTTTTGTCATTTAAATGTGTTTTTCTTAAAATTTTTATTTACGAAGTATGCAAATATGCATTTCAGAAGAAAGGGGGGGGTGGTCGCCTTTACAGCGATACCAATTTTTTAAAAATCGGTTAGTATTTTTTGTCTCAAATATTTTCTTTATAAAAAAAGGTATCTTTTCCTTTAAATGTGTTTTTTTATTCTTATATACGAAGTATACAAATATGCATATCAAAAGAAAGGGGGTTTAATTGCCTTTACAACGATACCAACCTTTTCAAAGTCGGTTAGTAATTTTTTTGTATAACATTTTTTTTATAAAAAGGTATTTTTTCCTTTATAGGTTTTTTTTTCTCTAATTTTTATATACGGAGTATGCAAATATGCATGTCAGAAGAAAGGGGACTTAATCATCCTTAACACGATACCAATTTTTAAAAAAACTGTTAGTAATTTTTTTATTTAAAATATCTTTTTTTTCATTTAAATGTGTTTTTCTAAAAATTTTATATGCGAAGTATACAAATATGCATATCGAAGGAAAGCGGGTTTAATCATCTTTACAACGATATAAATTTTTTAAAAATCAGTTCAAAATTGTTTGCAATATTAGGAATTTAATTTTTCGAAGACCTGAACTTTGACCCCTTATAGCACCTGGAAAAAAAAAAGTTATATAGCATTTAAATAAGAGCAAAACGAGAACTACGTCTATCTTTTTAGGTTTTTAGTTATTTACATGCAATAATTAAATATAATTTTTTACCAAAGGTCCTATTGCGAACTTCGAAGGCTCTCTCGATATCGGAGGCTAACTTCGAAAAACGGAGAAATCACTGTTTTACCTATGACTCAATCTCTTAAAACAATTTGGTTTGGTCCAATACCTAGAAAAAAAGTTGATTTTGCCGTACAGTGTTATTTATAAAAATTTCACTAAAATATTTTTGTACGAGGAAATACTCTATAAGGGCAAGAATGATAGAATACAAGATTGCGCCGTCCTGGGCGTTGACATTTGTGTACCACAAGTAAACAAAGAATAGAGCGAAAAGAAGAACGAGTTGAACTGCCAAAGCAGTTCACTTTACAGCGAAAAACGTGTTTTAATTTTGCTAAATGCGAAAATATTGCATTTTTCACCTAATCCATTAGAGACCAGTGAACATTTTAGTGCACTCCATTGCTTTGCAATTTAGGCTGCTTCAGCAAACGTTTTAGTGCACTCCATTGCTTTGCAATTAAGGCTGTTGCAGAAAACTGCAGCAGCATCTCTGCGGGATTGATTAGTTAACTTGCTAATGGAGGCTGCGTGGGGCAGAAACAAAATCATTGTGAGGAAATGCTGTTAATATAATAATAGAGAAACATTTCGGGAACGGCATTGCCGTGCCCTATGTACACAAAATGCAGCGATTCGTCCCAGCGCTACACTTACACCTACGCTTCTTGCGTCTTGGGGGCTGTCGCAATTTGACACACAGCACTTCATGGTATTAGTTTTTACGCAGTCTTCAACTCAAAAATCACTCAAAAATTGCAAATTAACACAATTTAAACTGATTTTTCACTTATAGTTCAAATTTCTCTTTCGCTGATTTGTAATCAAAGGTTTATTTACAAGTTACCACAATTGTTAAAATCGGCAAAACCAAAGTAGCGGTATCACTGACGGCGCCACCTTTGTTCGCTGCACCGTGCTATAAGGGTAAAATTTCAGGACAATATCTACCCGAATTTATAATTTTATCACAGTAATATATTAAAATACTTTTTTCAAAAATTCGTAATTTAGTGATAACTTCAGATTGATTTAATGGATTTTTTCTCGCTACGCTTTTAGAACATCCACATAACATTACCTTTTACTTATTTCAGGTCCCAGAAGAGCTGATGCTTGATTATACTGAAATTACATCCATACCTCCTTTACCTCTTTGGGTGCTGTTGAATGCTGATAATGAATTACCAGGACAAGGCATGAATATTCTAGAAAAAAGTAAAGATTACAATGAACTTTTCGAAATGAACAAATCGGAAGATAATTTAGATGATCTTCTTGAAAACGAGGACGATCAATGCAAATTCGAGAGAAAATTGTCCATGCCAGAGAAACTGAGTATAGCACATTTTGGTTCACGTCAGGGCCAACTATTGTCGCGCCTTCTCACCCACACTCATTTGCCTGGCTTGTCGTCGTTAGATCAAATGCATTTGTTAGCCCTGGCTGATACTGTAGCAAACTTCAACAGCGATTTTAACGAGAAATTCGCCTCCGATCATGGAAAAAGCGTATGCAAAGATGTTTCTGGCAATGCAATGTCAGAATCATTGGATGATTGCGGTCTACGATTTTTACTCGCTATGAAACATTTTACTTACCTCTTGCGCTGTTTGCCATTAAATCAGAGAGCCCAATTTCAGAAGCAAGGCATTGGAACATCAAATATAGTATGGGCTTTTCACTCTGAAAGTGAAGAAGAGCTTTTAAATCTCATTCCATCATATTCAAAAGGAGATTTACGATGGGCAACACTGAAAGATCTGGGTGTGGGATATTGGTTAAAAAATATAAACAGCTTGCGTTGTTGCGTGGAAAAACTAGCTAAAAGCGCATACCAATTAAAGCAAGATCCGTTAGATGCGGCGATATTTTATTTAGCTATGAAAAAGAAGTCAATAGTATGGGGACTTTTCCGATCTAAGCGAGATGAAAAGATGACCGCTTTTTTTTCAAATAATTTCTCCGAAGATCGATGGAGAAAAGCAGCGCTTAAGAACGCATTTGTTCTGCTCGGAAAACAACGCTTTGAACATGCAGTTGCATTTTTCCTTCTTGCAAATTCTTTAAACGATGCCATAGAGGTCTGCATAAATAAATTAGAGGATTTTCAACTCGCTTTAGTAATAGCAAGACTCTTTGAAGATGACATTGAAATTTCGAATAAATCAACTTACCGTAGCTTACTCTCCGAACATATTCTCGGACTTCGGGATGAAAACAGTTCGTTTGATGTCAGTAAAGCTCACCCAGATCCTTTCCTTCGATCAATAACTTACTGGATCTTAAAGAGGTATCAAGAAAGCTTGCATACATTATTACTAAACGGCGTTGGCATGAACCATACTGCTTTCAAAGAAGAAGATATGTTAAAACCAGAAAACTCCTCAACAAATCCTAATGTTTTCAACTTCTACATATATTTACGTACACATCCTTTACTAGTACGACAGAGCTTAGCTTTATCTGCACAGGAGAAGAAATGTGCAAACGTTGTGCTGTCGGGATTTAGCTATTCTGGAGAGAGTCAAATATCAAAATCAAATGATAAACAACTGCAACTTGAAGACTCAATAACACCCATTGAAAGACAACTTTATTTTACAACTGCGCATGCACACTTTAAAGCAGGATGTCCAGCTTTAGCCTTGGAAGTTTTGAATAAGTTGCCAATGAAAATTATGGACGCAAACAGTATTTTTGAAGAAGCTTCCGCCCCTATTCAAAAAGTAGATCAAATAACTTCTGGTATAATTGACTGGGGGGAACCAGTGGTTGATTCAGCTGCAAATTTTGATTGGGGTGCTCCGGTTTCATCTGTGAACGAAGAACCATTCGAAATAAAATGGGATGATTGTGGCGTACAAGAAGATGGCGGAAGTACGTCACAAACTAAAACCGAAACAGTTACTCGAGATACAGCGGAAAAAGTTCCGATAGAAACTGCAAAAGATGTAAAAATAGATATTATGGCACAGCAACTAAAATTTGTAGCATGTTTAAAAATTTTGATGGAGGAATTGTCGACTTTAGCAACTGGTTTCGAAGTTGATGGCGGCCAGTTGCGATATCAACTATACATCTGGCTAGAAAAGGAAGTAGACGCATTAAAACAACTTTGCAATTACTGCAATTACGATGTCGTTAATTTGGAGACTTCTGCACAAATATCAGACCCTACACTTAATGTAAGTATTAAATATACTTTAGTAACGATAATTTTAAAATATCTAATGAAATCGACGCTGTAACCGCCTTAGCGATTTTGGCCGAATCCAAAACAGTCCGCCAGTCGTTTCTCTTCTTTGCCAACTGACGACAATTGGAAATGCCAAGTGAAGCCAAGTCCTTCGCCAACTGGTCTTTCCAACGCAGAGGAGGCATTATCTTTTCTCTGTTACGAGCATCGCGGCCCGTGTTTAATACTTTCAAACCTGGACCGCTTCGGTCAATTAGAACGACATGACACAGCCAGCGTATCTGCTGAATTCTAATTCGCTACACTATGTCTATATCGTTGTAAAACTCATACAGCTCATCGTTAAAGCGTCTGCGGTATTCGCCATGTCAACACGTAAAAGCTCGTAAATCTTTTGCAGAATCTTTCTATCGAAAACTCCAACAGCCGCCTCATCAGATGTTTTCATTTTCCATGCCTCCACGCCAGTGCGCGCTACCACTCCGCCGGGTCTGGTTAAAGGAACATCGCAAAATAAAAAAAGAAAATAAAAGCGTTGTAAAAAGGCTTTTTCTTAACAGCGGTCGTGCCCGGCGGGCAGTGGCAAACCTCTGAGTGTATTTATGCTATGAAAAACAGCTTTTCATAAACATACAATCGCCGTTCGGAGTCGGCATAAAACTGTAGGTCCTTCCCCTTTGTGTGACAACATCAAGGCGCACACCACATATGTGTTAGCGATAATCTATTACACGGTGCTACAAAAAAGTCATGAAATATACCCGAAACAAAACCTAGTTTATGTTGTAGCTATGGTCGAGTACAACATGAAAATACTTTCCGAATAGTTCCTGAACCCTCCATTTTTTTATTTCAAAACAACCGTTATGTTCGTACCTGATGCACTTATTTATTAACAGCTTGACTCTTGTTCATCCGATTTTAAAAACCGAATATGTTTTGAAAAGAGTATTTATAGACCTTTAAATTGACCTAATGCAATTGCATAAAAATTGTCGAAGTTAAGCAATTTAACCAAAAAATACGGTCTTGAATTTATGTATGTATATTAGACTGTCCCAAAAAACCAAAGTTATCCTTTTTAACGCATACCGCCCCATTTTATTGGTTCTGTCTTAAAAACTATTCGAATACAATTTTATCCAATTCGAACTACGGCAACCCGTGACGACTTGCAGTCAAAGTTATCATTTTACTTCTATATAAGACGGTATTACTAATGTGACCAACTATTTTATAGCTCAAAGAAGTACAGGTTGAGTTGGGTTAGGGTACGTTCACACAGAACGCGGAGCCGAGCCAAGCGAAGCCGTTCCGAGCAAAGTGAAGCTTTCTAATTGCTGTAGCCATGATACAAAAAAGAAGGTAGTTTCAATATACAACTTTTTGATTAAAAATCAGATTTTTGACAATTGCTCAATTGTTAAAAATTCGAAGTGGCGTTACCCAATTTAAGTTTTTTGGTAGAGGGGATTTTATACCATAAATTTGGGATTATGTATAAAATAGTTTTAATAACATTAACTGTTTAAAAGTAATAAAAATCGTATCTTAAAAATGTTTAAATTTTACACTAAATACGATTACCACTTCCCATTTAGGTTAATTAAATTTTAGTGAACATATACATATGTATATGTAGGGTTTTTCAAACTTTTTTGTGTCTTTTTGACATCTGATTATTTTACAATGTATCTAGCCAGGACCTTTACGGTTTTCTATACTGAAGATAATTGTTTCTGATATACACATTTCGGTGTGAATTTAATACATATTTAGATGGTTCACAAGGTGTCGTAAGCGTCCTATTGTCGTGTGTCGTAAAGTTTTGAACGGCTAAACAAATGTTTAGAGGACTTGAAACCACAACAAAAATTCTTTTTTAACGGTGTGAAATTTCATAATACGACTTTTATGGTGGCTTGCGGATCCCTTAAATATAGTTTACTGTTCAATATTGGAGCGTTTGTGAAAAAAATTGATGTCTCCACCGATTAGAAAGAGAACGGTCCAAACTTTAAGGCAAGTCACCCGTCACCTCTCTGACCGCTCGGCACCAATTTGAAAATGGGGTAAACTTAGCATTTTGCTAGAAAATGTAAGCTCGGGTTACGGCAATCAAAGGACTTACGCGCAGAATACCTCTCCGCGTTGGAGGCCTTCGGCCGCGCTTAGAAAAGTTTCCCTAATCTGCCCAACTCCGGCTACACGGTATTTTTTACAAAAAAGTGCATATTTCACACCGAATTTATTAACAATTTAGTGTTCAAAAATTTTAAATTTTTATTTTAAATCAAATTTTAATCCTTTGATCGCAGGCGTATGTTCACATTTTTGTACCCGAGCGCACTTGTGCACAAGGGTATATTAACTTTGTTCACATAACGGTTGTTTGTAACAGCCAAAACGAATGGAGATAAATATAGACAAATGTATACATAAATGCTCAGAACGAATACAGAAATCGATTAAGCCATGTCTGTCTGTCCGTCCGTCCGTGTACACGATAACTCGAGCAAAAATTGAGATATCTCAACGAAATTTGGTATGTAGGTTTCCGTTAATCCAAGGTAGGTTGGTATGGGCGAAATCGGACAGTAACCACGCCCACTTCCCATATAACGGTAATTTCCAGAAATACGAAAACTGCGATATTTTAGTAACTACTGAAGATTATTAACTCAAAATTGATATTTACAATACATTTTAGACGAAAAATAAGAATATTATAAATTTTTGGAAAATTGGTGTAGCCACGCCCACTTGTGGTTACATGTGTATATCTTGGTAACCGCTTCACCAATTTCTTCCAAACTTGACACAGTTGTTGGCCTTGATACAGCATACTAACTGGCCGAAAAATTAAAAAATCGGACAATAACCACGCCCACATCCCATATAACGGTAATTAAGAGAAATACAAAATCTTCGATAAATCAGTAAATATTAAAGCTAATTTATTCAAAATTGATGCTTGCAACAATTCTTTTCCAAGAAATACGGTTATGGTAAAATTTTGAAAAATGGGCCTGGCACCGCCCACTTATGATCACATATATGTATCTCGGTAACCGTTCCACCAATTTGTACCAAACTCGGTATGGTTATTGTGCTTGCCACATAAAAGCAAAATGTTGAAAATTATTGAAATCGGACTGAAATTACAGCCGCTTTTCATATAACGGTAAATTTTAGAAATGCTTGAAACTGCAATATTTCGAAATTTAAGGACGCTAATTTACTCAAAATTGATACACCCCGGCTTACCATCTATTTAATACTTGCGCCGGGTATTTAATGTTCGGCTCCGCCTGAACTTAGACTTTCTTACTTGTTTGTATCATGGTTCATACAGCAAGATTTTTCATAAGCTGAAAGCTAAGAAGTTTTTGTATTTGAATTTTCTATTTAATTTTTCATTTTCATGACGCATCTGCAAACAAAAAAGAAAACTATTCAAATAAAAACGAATTCTACAACTGATATTTTGAATAAAATTGAGCAAATATTTTTGCCACCTTTCATTGATGGTAAGTTTTGTGGTATCTTTGCTGCCGGGTCCATGAGAAAAGCTCCGCTTCGCTTCGTTCAGTGTGAACACCAGCAGCTTCGCTTTGTTCCGCCTTGCTTCGCTCGGCGCCGCTCGACTTTCTGTGTGAACGCGCTCTTAGGTTAACACCGCGAGCCGATTACCAAATTTCGAATGCGGCTAATTTTGATCCCTGAGAGCTCAGTGTTAGTTCAGAAGAGCGAACAAAAATTCTTCCATCTTAGCCTCGCGAAGGTTGGACAGTCTAAAAGAATGTGTAGAGATGATTCCACTTCTTATTCCTCTTGACAGCTGATACAAAAGGAATCAGTTGAAATTCCTAGTTTTACCGAGTGAATATCAATCGCACAATGGCCTGTCAGAACCCCATCACTAGCTCTTGAGAGGTAACGTGGTATTCGGCACCTTTAAGGGGTAACGATGGGTCACTCGTTACTAGCGCTACAAAAAGTATTTTAAAGTGCCTTGTAAAAACACTTTCTGTAGCGGAGAAACGTCTTCTTTTCCCCTTTTATGTCACAAAAACCAACATCGCTTTCTTTTGTCCATTTTATTATGTATTTAATAGATAATGCGATTTCATTATAGCGAGTACGAAGTATGCATGTTAGTCATGCTCCTTATCTGGGGATATCGTTTTAAGGGTGCCTTTCCACCGCCAGGTCATCAGCCACGCAGTTTTCTGCGATGTCTCTGTGACCCCGTACCTAAACTAAAAGAAGTACCTAAGAAGTACCCTGACGCGATGGATAAAGAAGTCTGATATTCCTTTACCGATTTCTAACGCACCATCACACCCTTTAGCAGTGAGTCTACCGCTTCATTGATGGCAGCCATTTCCACCTGAAAGACACTGCAGAAGTCCGGAGCCTTAGTAACCCCGCCCTACCCAGTCCTCTCTTAAGGGAATATAGGTAGAGAGAGCTTCTGGGAAGCATTTCGGAGGCGCTGTAATCTATGTGTTCAGGTCGAAGTCAAAACCCGCCAGAAATCCAGTGTTACCACCCGGTTTCCCTTACCCTAATAGCAGTTCATGCTGCTACAATTCTTTCTTCAATATCCTCAGGCGCCGTGTTCAACGTGACGTTAAGCGCCAGTATAGGTGTGGTTCCAAATGCTCCACTAATTCCCGATTTACAATTGTAGCTTTCTCTAGCTGGTTCCACCAGACAAGGGCTCCGTGAAACAAGATAAGCTTAAATCTGGTTCCATAGAGCTAATCAATTACCTTCTACCGATAGCTCCCCTACAGCAGTACGATACAACCGACGCCTTTTTTACCCTTTCCTCAATGTTAGTCTTCCACGACAGCTTCCTATCCAGGATCCTGGACTCTGTCTGAGAGCCGCAGACGAACAACCCCACTCGAAGGAAGGGCCACAACGAGTATCTTGTACTTAGTGGTAAACAAGACCATTTCCGTTTTTCTGAGATTTACT